GTGCTCCCACCATTCAATATTTTGGCTTGGTCTGAAGTGCGCTGAGAGAGACAGGCAGCTAATGCAAAGCTCTAAGGAACAAATTTAGTTTCATCATTCTGGATAACATTAAAAGTGAGAACAGAGCAATTTAGGAAACCGTGCAGCTTCACAAGAGAGAGCTCCCGAGAGCTGCTGCAGCACACTGTCTCAGCACTACAGGCTGTTTATAAAACAGAGACTTATGCAACATAAAACCATTTGGATGTTGAGTTCAAATGCCTCAAAACTGGAGACATCTCAGTTCCTGACAGCTACTCCTGTCTATCGAATATTAAGGCTTATTTGGAAATTTAGTCTAGGTGTGTATTTTGTGTCTCCCCGATGGAGGAGCATATGTATGGCACTATGTAGGGCGTAGTGGTCAACTGTGTCTTGCTTTTTGTGAGAAAAGCGTTTGTCCCAGCTGTTCAGACATTGTTTTGAAATCGGAGGATCTTGGTAGTCTAGCAGCAAGGACTGATATTTTAAATGGAACATTCTTCTTCAGTGTGTAAAGAACTGCAGTGCAGCAAGGACAGGAAAAAGCCTAGTGACTCCTCTGCATGCTGGAGAGAAGGCAAACTGGGTCATAAGGAACAGTATCAGGAATAGAGGAACAAAATGAGGAAGGGAAGAGAAAGAGACAAAATCGGTAAGAGGGGAGAAGAAAGACAGACTCATGAAGGGAGGAACTCTGACCATGACCCACAGGGACTTCGAGCAGCACTCGCAGGAATGAGCTTTATGGACAAACACGAGTGTCAGCCTCAGCCTGACCCTGCAAGCTCCCACCAGCACAGGATCCTGGCTATTGCCTTTCCTTTAGACAGATGCAAACCCCCATAAAAGCAAAACCGGCCCCTGATCCTCTGATTGTTTTGAGTATTTCTTTCCCTTGCTCTGAACTCCTAATTTCAGCATCACACAGAACATTTCCCTTCGATAGAGGGGACTCTTGTAGGAAAAATCTCTGAGGAAGATGGCTGGCATTGCTTCCTGTGGCAGAGTTGCCTCTGGTGTAAGAGAAGAAGCAAACTGATAGTACATACATCATTTTGCTTCCCTTGAACTTGTCTTTCTGTATTCTTGGAACTCTATTTTTTTCTCCCGTTTTTCTTCCTGGTGACAGCGTGAACGAATAGTTATTCACATCTTTCTTTTAGCTGGGTATCTTAGGAAACTGACTTAAAAGGGACGGCGGCATAAATACAGCACGCACGGAATATTCTCTCTTCCTGTTCAGAAATTCAGGGGGGAGGGAAAAAAACACAAGGCAGGATTAAACACTTGACCTCTCCAGTGGCAATGCCGGGGCAGGGAGCGGCGCCGGGAGAAGAGTTCCGCGGGGCAGGGTGACCCCTGCCGGGGCTCTTTGTGCTGGAATCCCAGGGAAAATCCCAGGGCTGGAGCAGCAAGCTGCACTCAAGCCTGTGTGCTCAGAGGAGCTTGACTACGTGTTACAGCATCGTGCACCGACCATTTCTTCATCATGCAAGCAGGAGGCTCCAAAAGGCCTCCCCACACACCGTGGTTTAGAGCAGGGACTGGGGGGCTGTCCCCAAACAGCAGGGGTAGGAATGCTCTGGCCTGCACCTAAACTGAGCACCAGTGATGCTGACGCATGTAGCTCCGACTCTGTTCCCCTGGTGGCTCAGCTGGTTCAAGTTCAGCCTCAGAAAGTTGGCTGCCCTCTGGTAAAGATAAGGGATTCAGTTTAGGCAAATTACTCCTATGGAAAGAGGTCCATGATGGCTATGTCTGAGGAGGGCAAGCCCTGGCTGGGCTGACCTCCGGAGATGCTTCTGCCTCCCCTCCTAACTGAGCCCTGGCACGGAAGAAAAGGCATCTTTGCTTAAGTCACCCATGCCTAGACTTGTGTGTCTCTCTCCATGCATGGCTAGCAGAGGGAGATCGCCACTGATGGGGAGACCAGTGCTCTCCTCCACAGTTGCTATGGTGTTGTGGGCTTCTATTGCTTAGCTGGTGCCTTTTCATCCTGTCAAGGGACAGGGAGTAGTGGAAATGTGACTGTGACACAAGTCCACGGAGCTTAGTCATGAGAGCTGTTGAACCGTGCCCCAAGGGTTTTGGTAAGAGACCCAGCAGTCAAACAGGAAAAAATCTAGTACTTGAAGGAATTTTAAAAGCACCTGGCACCTATTTGCTATCCTGCTTTTTTTGTGTGCAGTTAGCCATGGTGAGGAGCCCTGCAGTTGTCAGCTACATCTCAGTGTAATTTTATACACAGGAATATTCACAATGTACTGTTCCTTTGAACTAAGTCAAAACAGCAAGCTGTTTCTTTGCTTAGAAATGTAATTTAGTTCTCCCTGCTTAGCTATTCTCTTAAGCATCAAGAGACAAGTCCAACATCCACTGAAAGTAATGGAAAGACATGGATGGTTTTCAGTGGGAGTTAGATCAGTGTTCAGTTAAACACACAATTCAATAAGGCAGACTTTAACTGTTTCTCTTATTAATAACACAGAAATTAGTTTACTCAACAGAGACATTTGGTCTTTATTTTAAAATTATTTCCAAATGCAGAAAATATTTAAACTGTGTGCCCAGCCAAGAGTTTGTATCTTCTATTGCAGGAAGAGGCTCAGCAGCTTATTGTGTCAAAAAGCATGAAATTGTGGGTTTCAGCAGATCCTCCTAATAAAGGCAATAAAGTTGTGAAGATTGTAAAAGGAGAAATCCATGTGGTTTATTTCTTAAGTTTCCTTCCACTGCTTCTACACAGTGTTCAGCCTCTTCCAAAAAGCATCCTAGAACAACTCAGAATGTTATTCCCCCTGGTCTAATGGGGTCAGGCAGACAACACAACAACCCCTTCACAAAGCATGTACCAGGCTACCTAGCTTTAACACGCACCCTGCCCCAATAGATGCACATGGAAAAGTTACCTGCTCTGGGCTTAAGTTCTTGGGTGTGCATAGGAGGAACAATTGAGTAGTGTTTCACTTCTGAAACAGATTTGTGCCCTCCCCAGGTAAAGCTGACAAACTAGAAAGCATCACTTCTCAGCTCACCAATTGAACTACACCATGCCTCAGCTTCATCTCAAATCTTTGATTCTAGGAAGTTTATCTGAGGTAGCCTGCTATTAGTCCTACACTTTCTGTTGCTTTTTCCAGGGTATCTTTGCTGCATAGCTGATTTGGGAGATGAACAATCATGTGTGATCACACAGATGAGCCAGGCACAACCACATGAGTGGTCTTGTTACAAAAGGCACCTTTCCTGATACTGTGCTTTTCTCTCTGTGTCATCAGGGGTTTAACAGGCTTTGTGCTGCAGGGAGTTAAAATTCTTGCTCAGGAAATAATGGAAGAAATGGCCATGGCTGCAAACAGACGATCATTTGTTCTTCAGAAACTATGACAAGGCACTGGGAAACCATTAGCACTTGAGTAACTTCATTGCCAGCACAGGCAAATAACTCTAACTCAAAGGAATGTCTGCATGGATGTGTGTATATGCATACAACAGTTTTTATTCCATACCTGGCCAGGTAGCCTTAGCTTAGTGTACCTAAGAAAAAAATTCAAGGAACGGCTTGGGTTAAGCACGTAGTGAGAATGTACCCTCAGGTCTCTTACTTTTCCTATTTCTCACCTTGTTGGAAAATTTTGAACCAGCTAAGTCAAGTTTCTCTATTTTCTAAGGCTTTTTTTCTTTTTCTTGTTTCTCCATTGTTCTTTCCAGGCAACACAGGGTGATTTTCAGGTTTTCTTCTCTATTGCTAATATAATTTTTTTGCAAAACATGCCAACTGGACCAGGCCTGGAGGTGGGCTGAAGGAGTAGGCTCTGTCTAATGGACTGCCTTTCTCAGCTTCTCAGGTGGGATCCCAGCTGCTTAGGAAACGAGATGATCTCTTGCTCCTCCCCTTAGTGATTTAGTACAAGTCTGTCAAGAGAGGAGAAAGCAGGAAAGCAGCTTTTTTTATTCCTGAGAGTGATAGGAGAACTGCCACAAAGCTGTAAAAATAGGGGCTATCTTTTAATCTGTTCTGCAGTGCTTGGTCTGTGATTTGAGAGAAGAGTGGTCCTGTACTACAGCTGGATTTCCTTGGCTGGGAAAGTGGAAAGGAAGAATGTATCACCTGTAGCTGAAGGTAAGAAAGTAAAAAGCCAGGCTAGGAGCAGAGGTGAGCATGATGTGGGATTAGTGAGGAAGGGAGGTGGGCAGAGCTAATGACCGAAATGGAAGTGCGCATGGATGAGGAGGTGGTGGCAGGGCTGATAGCAGAGAGACTGCAAATGGCATAATTGCTTTACTTGTTTTTTGGAAGAGCCAGCTATAGTAAATGTTTTATGCCTGTGAAAGGTAGGACATAGAGGATTCTAAAATCAAGAGACTGACCAGAAACACAACTCTGGAACAGAAACAGTCATCTTCCAACTCACCTGTGCTCTGTGTATCTCAGCCCATTAGTTGTTTTCTACATTATCATTTTGGTACTAGTTCTGTCTTTCCCTTATATGCGCAATACTTGTCAAATAGATGTTCTTGGGGCCTGTTATCACCTTATTGTCTGAAGGTCTCACCTTTCTGCCAGTCTCTCTGCACACTAAGTTAAAATTCTTAGGGTCCCATCATGTATTTCTACTGCCCCAGGTCCCTTCTGGTCATAGCTTTTTCCCTGTGTGCTCCTGCTTTTGTATCTTCCTGTGCGTGTACAATATGTTTCCAATCTCCTCATCCCTAGAGAAAGGGAATCTTTTCATGGAACCACTAAAGAAGTTAGATAAATTTCATAATGTAATAACAGTAAGTTAAATTTGATAGAATCATGATAATGTATGTGTGCTTGAATTTAGTGACTGGCTTGTACCAGCCTCTTTCTGGTTCTTCTCACTTGTTTCTTCTAATTAGTGTGTTGTTACACACAGATTAGACATCTTTTCCCAGGTGAGAGAGGTAGCAGCAAGACTCAGCTGTGCCCCGTGATAAATCATTTACTTATGCCCTCAAAAAAGACATTTGCAGGGAGGAGGACATTTGCAAGAGGAGCTCTTCATATTTGCAAGACAGACCCAGATTGATTCACTGATGCAGCTGTAAGTTATCAGGACTCAGTGACAGTGTCCTCCTCAGTATAATTGTTTGTGGTGTCTACTGCAGTTATTTCCTTCAGCAGCAGCCCTGGCTCAGCATCTAAAGGTGAGGGCTGAGGGGTGTCTGTACCTTCTTGACTTTCAAAACCTGGGCAGTCTTTTTCAGTGTGTTTCCCTGTGGTTTGGTGAGCAGTTTCTGGGGGAAAAAAAGTGATGTGCTGTGTTGTGGCGTTTTGTTTAGTTCCTCTTCCCTAACCTAGAACAAAACAACAAAATGCGCAATGCTCTGTAATGAGGGATGGAAGTAGGTATTTGTCAAAAACATGCAGCAGTTCCTTCTGGCTTTCTACCCAAATGTGATCAGAAGATTACTCCAGTTATCACTGAATTTAGTAAATTTGTTCTGATGTCCGTGGACTGTAAATCTTTTGCTATAAGGACAAAAAAAAGACCGCTCCAGAAGTCTCCTTTCTTGTGAGTATTTTTAGAGTAATCCAGGCTTTCAGCAAAAAAACCTGGACTTGCAATGTCTATGAGATGAATATAAGACCTACTGTACTGCGGTTAATCAGGTTTTGGTAGTAGGCTGTACATAAACTGTCTGCATTGGCTTGATTTATAAAAAAGTAGAGGGTTCCAGGTGATAAAGCAACAAAGCTGGAAAAATACACAGCAGAATTAGATGACCTATTTCTTTGCTTCAGCAGAAGGCTTCATGTCCTTCACTGTAAAATCACCCACTTCCTCATTTCCAAACTGATTTTTATCCAGCCTGACTGGGGGTTTCTGCACTGTCTTTCCCAGGGCATCTCTCTGGAGAGAGATTAAAAACTTCCAGCAGGATATATTTTGTTCTTGGGGCGACATTTTGCTGCTTGCCTTCTGCTTTTCTTTCATGCATGGAGGTGATGGACACCAATACCAGTGAAAGCCTAGAAATAATGATGTGCTAATAACCTCAGATCTCACTCATGAGGGAGTGTTGTCTGCAGTGAGAATTCCCATTTGCTGGTGAGTGATGTGTCTGTGGAGCTTGCAGTGTTGCTGTACACCCAGCAGATGTGGGGATTTGATAACGAGGTCCTGAGGATTTAGACAAGTTACTTTATCACTGCTGAAGAGATTTAAGAATTATTTTGTTAAAGCTTCACAATCATAATAGTGGTCTCTGCTGCATACAAATGAGCAGCCCAATCCTAGAGCCCTGCTGCTGAGGGTAGCACTTATTCCTGAAAGATGTGGTGATTATGTGATTAGCCAGGAGGCTGAATTCTGCCATTTTCTGTGTGAGGTTTAGCAGTGCTAAACCCACACTGAGGACCTAGGGTTGAGATAATCACTATCCTGTTACAAGTTTCCTGAGTTATCTGCTCCTCAGCCTTTTATTGCCATAAATAACTCTAGAAGTCAGGCCTCACTGCCAGAAGTGTTAAGTGCTGCAAATAGTATAGAAGATGACTCATGAAGCGAGATGAAGGTGGAGCATGAATCAGTAGGAAGAAAACTGATATACAAAGGAGAAATTCTGAATGCAGATGACACAAAAAGTCTGAACAAAGCAATGTTCAATCATCATAAAAATGAATCAAAAGATTTTTTTTTCTAAAGAAAAAAAAAGGAAAGAAACTCTTCTATTTAATGAGAAAGACTATTCCAGTGAAAGCCCAAAGTACAAAGGTGTTGCATACTGACCATGTTATTCCTTACCCAAGACAAACTGTAGACTGCATAGAAAGAGATGGTTGAAAAATTCTTCCCAATATGTCCAAACAAAGCAGAGTATTCAGCAAGCAGGTTGCTTTCCAGATTGTTCTGTGTCTATATAAGCTAAGAAAAGAACCTGTCTTTGAGCTAAACAGTTTTGGAGATCAAGAGTCCTCATAGCTTCAATGAACCCACACTGAAAGCTAACAGCAATAGAAATACTAAAATAACCCAAGCACATTCCTTGTAAAAGATAACTCAGGATAAGGAGATAAAATTCCCACAGACCACTCCATTTGAAATGACAGCTTTTGGTGCTTTTGCTTATCCTCCAAAAGCTTGCATATGTAGGAATGCCTTTAAAAGTAGACTTGGAAAAAAGATACCTGATAGATGACATCCTACAGCTGTTAGTATAGTAAAGCATCCTGTTCTGCCTGTAATTCAACTCCTGCCACTTCCTGGGAGAAGGGGTATCTATTTAATGTAACTCCTCAGAGGTGAGAATTAACAAACTTTCATGTTTGACATCAGGGTTCAAGAAGCATCTGAATGACACTTAGTCATGTGGTTCAGTTTTTGGTAGTCCTGCAAAAAGCAGGAAGTTTGATTTTTATGGGTTTCTTCCAGCTTGAGATATCCCATGATATACAATCTCTTTGAAGCAATAAAGAGTAAAAGAAGTTCCTCCTGTCCCCCAACTTCCAGCAGGTGCTAAAATGTGATATGGAAAGAAGCCTACATACCTGTGTCTTAGGTGAAAGCTCTGTCTCTGCTAGCATTTCTAATAAAAACCACTGCAAAAATTGTAGATGATTTATCCCTATTAATTATTAATTAATTTATCCCTATTAATTATTTATTAATTGTAGTTGATTTATCCCACCCTGTGTATGGCTCTTCCTTGGCTTTGTTATGCTAGATCCATAAAATGTTGCTCTCAAAGGTACTGCTCCTTTAGAGCAGTAATGCTTAGAAAAAAGTGTAATAAGACATCTTAACCTGTACTGTTTTTTGAGTTCCTTTTTTCAGTATAAAGTAAGGGATGGTCAGAAGACCAAAGCCTCTAATGTAGCTGTTTCATAGGGCTGGCAGTGGCAGGAAATCTGGAAAGGATGGGTAATGCTGCCAAGGCTTAAGGGATGCAGATACTTACATGAAGCAGAACTATGCACAGGAAGGGAAAGCTCTAGCAGGGTTCTCTCCCCAATATTACTGTAAAAATAATCTCAAACCTGGTTGTACTCATCTTTTATAGTGTTGTGAGGGCCATGGGTTCATTTCTTCATTGAAGGTAGTGCTAGGACTGAAACTTGGCATAAATTCATGCTTATTCCTGGTCAGTACTAAAGTTTCAGATGTGAATTTACCTGTGTGTTAATGAGCAAAATCCAGAGCTGCATGTTGTAATTTGCAATATGTCTAGGTACTACACTTTTTCTACTGTGTCTGATGCAATTAATAGGAAATCTGCTGGATTTGAGCTTTAACGGAATAGGTTATTCTCAAGGAAGTTATCACAGGCTGAGTTTTCTATTGCTGCTAAGGGAAAGCTAATAGTTAACAGCTAGTGACAGATTTATGTTTTCATTTGTAGGCTACCCAGCAGTGGGCCCAGCTCAAATATAAAGTATTGCTTGGAAAAGTTGGTTTTGTTAGTGAAAAATATGAAGTTCATTTTAAGACTGAAAAAAGTGCCTTCTTGCTACTGGGAGAATAGAAATTCTCTAAGGAAAAATAGCAAAAAGTGAGCTTCTGTCAATAAAAGAATCTGTGTAATTTAATACCAGGCAGCTTTTTAATACAATAGGGAAAAAAAGAGCAGACACTTGCCTCTGTTATGAAGGGGAAAAATATAAAAACCTGCCTGCAGTATGTTACCTAAATTTAGCCACAGAGCGGCCAAACCTCTTGGATACTCAAAAGTCTGTCTGAATGAAGTAAGTAAAGGCTATAGAGAAGCTGTACTTGGAGACCCTCTATCCCCAAAGTGCTGGTATAGGAAATGTGTTAGGCAGCACCAGTGGCCAGACTGTAAAGCAGCCCTTCCTTGTTTAGTCCTTCTTATCACAGAATCAGAAAGTTTCTGTTTGATTTTTCAATAATGTAAGTGGCTGAGGTTAGAGGTGTGTGAATGGCTTCCTGCAAATGATAAAGCTATTCAGCATCATCCTGGGTTTAAGCTTGAATTGTTCCTGTGTTCAAGCAGTGGTAGGATCATGCTTTGAATAATGCATATCCATAAAGGTGTTAAACTTCTTACAGACGTCCTGTAGACCTTCTCCTTCCTGACATCTGTACTTGAAAGCCTCTCTAGAAGAGGCATCTGATTCTTAACAAAATGCTTGACAAAAAACTTGAGTTCAGAAACCAAAAGAAACCACAGGTTATCATTCAGAATGCAGAGAAAACAGACACTAGCATCTTAGTCAAATATCAGTTCTATAATTTTTAAAATCAGTTTTGTAATAGTTTCTTAAGCTGAGATTAAATATGAATTGTAGACTTCTCAGAAGTGTTGCTATTTGAGATTTCTGACGTCTTAATTTAAGTGTAATTTTAAGTCCTGACAGCGGCATTTCTTCTAGTTTCATGGGCCTGAGAAACGATTTTGTATCCCTTACTGGCATGCACTTCCAGTGAGTGTTTCAAAGAGCCAAAGTTATTAGTACTGTTATTTCCTTTGTCCACATTTGAAACAAGCCCAGAAACTGTAAACAACTGGAAACTATTGCCAACTTCTGTTGTATTAACATTCCTACAATACTTGCTTCTAAAAGTCTTAGAGGATGAATGTGTGGAAGCTTTTTGTGTGCAGAAGCTGCATCTCAGAGTGCTCACAGCAGAGTCAGAGCTGTAGCAGGAGTCCTGTTTCATATGACACCTTGTTCTCATATGCTTCTACAGTTCTGGCAGTGGTACTTTGACTCTTGATTATTCCCTGCATCCTCAGCTTCTCAAGAATAGTGATTTTTGCCTCTCTGTTTCCTCTAAGAGTGATGATTTACTGATGAACTCATTGGTGAGCACCGTGTCTTCAAAAGATGTAAACATTAAAAATCAATAGTTGTGCAGCACTTGGCATTTGAGCAAAGCTTCATGATGTATTTCCAATGCCAGAGTTTTTGTTGAGGAGGTTGCATACTGAGACTGCCCAGTGGAGAAGGCCAGCTGGAGCCTCTTCTCACTGCTTAAAGTTTGCAGTAAACGTTTTAGTGGCTTGAAGAATGATGCAGGTGCCTAGTTCAGTTATACCCAGAGGGGCATGTTCAGGAAAGTGGGGAAGCTTATGCTGAAGACCTGTGAAGCCAATTTTTGAGCATGATCCCAGAGGATCTGTAGGAGCTCTTGACAGTTGGACTTCTTAAGGGCTCTGTGATCTGGCTGGAGAAAGCCAGGCTAAGATGGTATAGTACAAACCTACTAATGAGCCATATTGTAAAGATCACTATGTTCGTCTGCTAAATAAACCAAAACTTTCATGTGGTTTTGTGATATGTGTTTTTTTTTTGTAACAGCATTGATACATTTGAGTCTGATCATAAGCATTTCAACAATTATGTATTTATAGACAGCATTAGGACTAAAAACCAAGTTATTTGATAATGCTTCTGACTGTCTGTTTAGTTTCCAAGTATTAGACATGAATAAACAACGAGCAACTTTAAGGCCAAGACCTGTCAGGTTTTGCAGCCCTCAGCTGACAGTTCTACCATCTGCCCAATCTCTATTGGCAGAAGTGAGAGCTCTTGTATGAAAAATGCTTGGACCAAAACAAAATTGCAGATATTTGACATCTGCCAGTCTTCACAAGCAGAGTGAGTATGACAACGTTGTCTTATTTTTTAGTTGTAAAACAAAACTACAGAACATCTACCACCCTGTAGCTGACTCCGTACTGCTCCTAAAATAACCAAACCAGTTACCCAAAAAGCACTGGGGTTCAGCTGTCAGTCAGAACATGCAAATGTCAGAAGGCAGTATACAGCAAAACACATCGTGGCAAAAAATAAAAGCAGGATGAGTGGGCAATGCTGACAAGTGATGTGAATTTGTATTGATTTTACTAATCCATTCAGGAGAAAAATGTAGTTGAAGTATCTTGGTATGGTATGTCTTTTTTTGGTCTTGAAAAGGAAGATTGAAGCATGATTTCAAAACTTTCTGTTTAGAAATTTCCTGTGAAGTTATCCTTTAGAAAGTGGGAGGAAAGGGAGGTTAAAATTAAATGAAACCATTTCAGAGCAAGCAAATAATTTTGTTCAATATGAAAGGAAATCCTTTCATCATGTCCTTCAGTGGTACAAACACCACTGATTACTCTTTTTGTGTTCTATTTGGAAAACTTTATTACAACTCTTGTTTAATACAAAGAGTAAACAACCACTGTAGATACTCCATTTAGCATGTTTGTGAAATGTAAGATGTTCACAGCACTTGAAAAATACAAGAGTTAAACTTTGAAATTAGAGGGTTCAAATAAACCAAAAAATGGTGCTGCTTTTCCATTAGCAACTCTTATTGCAATGGTATCCTAAGATTATAGAAAAGTTTGGGTCTAAGTGCTCACTTGCACTTGAAAAAAAAGGAAAAAATTCTTTGTACACCTTTGCTTGTTGTCATGATGATTTCTGGAGTTTTTATTTTTTTGTTTTCCATATTATAACTGGCTTTGCAACCTCTCATTGCAAACGTGAAGAAATAACAGGGTATTTACTTACTGTCTCTACCTGCTGCTTGTCAGGGCATTGTATTGGCTTGGGTAAAAACTGGCTCAGTGTAACAGCAGACTGAGAGCCCTCCTGTGGCAACCTCCCTTCCCAAAGAACTGTAATCCCAGTTGGAGAGGGCTACCCCTCCGGACAAGACTGGGTTTGACCTCTTGGTCTGTTCCAGGTGTCCCAGGTATTGACCCTGATTCTGGTAGTCAGAGTAGAGTCATTCTGAAGAACATGCTAAGAGCTCAATCTGTGTGGTGTCACAGCATGAACCATTCCATGTGGAAGCTGCCTGTAGCAATAGACCTTCAAGATTATTTCCTCCTCAGTCTGTGTTTGTGGAGCTGTTGCAAACTTCAGGTATTGTTAACCTGTGCTTATGGAATTGCTGCTTATCTGAAAAGAAGTAAACCTTTATGGTGGTTCTTTGAGGAATATTTCCTCACTGGTCTCATCCTTTTGACTCCATCCTTTGAAGTCCCTGTTGGTCGAGCTGCCCCAGCCTGTCTCTATTCCATCAATGCTGTAATTTCTAGTCTACAGCAAGATGAAGAAACAAATGTGAAAAGCTCCTTGGGCTCCTAAACATGTAAGAGGCTATTTAGAGTAGTCCTATAGAACTGGGAGCTCCAGAGTGCAGTGGAAGACAGAGGAATTCCTGATACCTTAGAAATACCTTCTCTCACAGGTGGATGGTGAGTGAAGGTCTCTTTGACCATTACAAAATTAATTTTTCATTTTCCATTTTTGAAACAAAGTATAACTTTAAATAATTTATAATTTATAATTTAAGTTTAAATGTGTCCATAATCAATTTAATTCCACTGGAGTATTGTTTCAGTACTTTAAGTGCCTTCTGTGTGCAGAACGTAGGTTAGAAATTTAAAACTGAGTTTGAAATTAGCACTTGGCAAGCTGTTAACCTGTTGACCTTCTAAACAATAGCTCTGAATCTCCAACTAATGCAGGATTAGAGCCTAGATGTATTCTTGTTTCTTCCCTGTATGTTTGGGCTTAAGCCAACTCAACTCTGTAAGCTTCACAAAGTGGCTTCATATATATATATCTTGCATATATAATATTTGCATATATACAAGCCCCCTCCCTCAAAATAACTTTTTGAGGCAAAATCCACCTTGCTGCAATGTTGTAATTCATCACTGGTGTGGGAGATAAGTGTCTATAATTGTATCTTTTAATGAGGCAAGTGGGACAGACTGTGAAAATCAGCTTTTCAGGTGCTGTGAAATCAGATAATGCATGGGGCCAAATGGTGACTCTGCTTCCTCTGTAGCAGAAGGATTTTACTAAGCTGAGTGAGTAATAGCCCTTCTCCTTGAGAACTCTCTGATAGAGCCAGAGCTACCCCTAAGATCAGCAAAACCGTGTTTCTGTGTGCCTATGTCCTCCTGGTACACTCGAGTGCTAAGGCATCTCCAAACCTACTTCAGACAGAGCCCGTGGGGAAGAGGTCACCCTCTTCCTTTGACTCCCTGGTTATTCTGTAGCCCCTCAGAAGGCAGCTGTGCCACTGCAGCCTGGATAGAAATATTGTATCCCATGGTGAAACTGGGACCATCTGCTCCTTCTTGAAAGTTCAGGGAGTAGGAATGCCCAATTCTCTTCCTTGAGAGCCTGGTGGTTTGTTATCACCATGGAATCTAACTGTTGCCAGGGCCTGTTACTACAATAAATAACTCCACAGAAAACATTATTCTTATGTCCTGGCATACTGACATCATTGTCCTTGTCCAGACACTCCTCTCAGAAGATGAGGAGGAGTTTGTTTCATCTGTGGAGCTGGGATGCTGGTCTGGGAGTACCAAGCCTGTATAGGGCGTTCAGGGTGTTAGTGAACCTCCTGAGGGAACTCAAGCTGTTGGATGAACAAGATACTGTCATGTAAAATACACACGTTTCAGCGTCTGGTTGAATTTGTTAAGTATACTTCAACACCATTAGCCATGGAAAAAGATCAGTTCTAAATCTGGATTTTCAGGCAGTTCAGCAAGCTTCTAAATGGGAGAAAATGTCATCGGGAGACAGGGACAGGCTGTGACTAGGGAAAATGTTTTAAGCATCCTTTGAGATCATTGTACAATTTCTTGATTACTGTTTGAATCTGTTCACATCCTTAGAAGTAGATGTCTGTAGGAGATTTAAAAAAAGAAAAAGCAGCCACAGTTTATGCTTTCAAGAGGTTGCTATAAAAGACAGCAGAGAAATGTTAAGTCAGTGCTGTCAGTTGAAGATCATGTCTTGGGTCACTTGTGCTGACATCATCAGCTAGTTATAGTTAGAAAAAATAGAATTTTTTCTCCCCCAAATATTTACATGAAACAGACTCTGTATGAACTAAGAATTCAAAGCCTTTTGAAGGGGAGCAAAAACTCAAGTAATTGTTAGTAACAATGAGGATTCTTTATTTCTTTTTTTTAACTTCCTGAGACCCTGGTAACAAACAAATGTCACATTTTGACCTTACTCTGACTTGTAGTGGCAACATTTCTTTAAAACTTGTCATATTTTCTGTGTATATATGAGACACGGAGATGTTTACATGACTAATGTCTCTTTTAAATAGTAAGGCCAGTGGACTTTCAGAACCAAATGAACCCCACTGCTGAGCCAGCGTGACTCCAGCCTAAGCGATCGCTCTGGCTGGCTGGCTGCAGGCAGCCTTTGGCGTTCCTCTTGTCCCCAGTCCAAGCTCTCAGCTGGTCTGGTTGGAAAGCTGAATAAAGTCTTTTGCATGGCAGGGAGCCTGAAGTGATCTTCCCTGCCTCAGTGTGCCCTGCCTGACTGTGCAAAGGACTGCCATAAGGTTCCTGTAGGGCTTCCAGGTTCTCTCTAGCGAGTGTCTCTGCTGGGCTCGGAGCATGTGTGCAGCTGTACCTACCTGTGCCGGCATCCTGGCGCTGCAAGGCACTCTGAAATGTGCACCCGCTGTCTCTTGAGAAACAGCTGCCTCCTAAGACATCTTGTTCTTTCTTCATCCCTGATCAACAGGGACCTGACTCTTGTGTTCACTCTGAATTCACACAGAATGCAAGTCAAGTAACCTTTTGGTGTGTGGGTATTTTGTTGTTGCTGCTGTTCTCTCTTTAGCAGATGTTTGCAGGTTGCATGTGGTAATGCTGAAAAGTGATTGATGCTTGATGTAGGGGAAGAACAGGATGTACAGGTTGAGCTTCTTGTTTGCATTTCTGATCAAATGCTTACTCTGATGGTGCAGTTCTAAAACTTGGTTTTAAGTAAATAATAGGTGAAATTTTAATCCTTTTAAAAGAGGTGAGTTTTATTTGTTCCTTCAAACGCAGATAAGATGATAAAATGGAAATAACAACACTTATCAAAGTAAGAAAATTGATTAAATACAAAATCATAAGCTGTAGCATAATCAAAAACTAGGTAAGCTTTATGATTTTGCTTTACAAATTGATTATTGGCACATAAAAGACAAGACAAGTGATAGTTTGAAGAAATAAGAGTACATGGGATGTAACAAGTGCCATGAAATTGGCCCTCATTAATATTTATGGCAAAGAACTTTCTCAGATCTCAACAGGATTTGTGCACTTAGAGCCTGAACTTTTAATATCTGACGCACATGATTCAATTGACATGGTGAACAGTATGTTTTTGAACAATCAGAGCTAGAGGCTTTCAAGAGCAGTATGCTGATGCTGACTGACGATAGAAAATCCTTCCTCTCATTTTAGCAGCTTTTCATTAATATGTAACATTAAAATAGGCAAGTTTCAGTAGAGTCAAGGCACCAGGATGTGTGGTATGTGAAAAAACAGAGCATTTTCATAAATACAAATTAAGATATTTCCCTTTAAGAAAACCCATGGAAGGGAGCCCTATGTGAAGCACAACAAGGAAACTGGGAAGAAAGAGGAGCTGTGAGAAGGCCAGTAATGGTGGGAAGGGGAGGAAAAAAGTGCAGCTCTCTACATGCTTTGTCTTGTGGGAATGACAACAAAAGCCAATCACAGGGGTGTGCATGCTGGGGAATAATCTCTATAAAATCAGAATGCAGCTTCTATAATTGCTAGTGTTATGTGGAGGAAATTGAAATATATGACTATTTTAAAATGAGGAGAGTTGTTTTCAAAACTTCCAAATCTGAAGCTCTTTGATGGCTTGTAGGATGCTTGGGAAAACTAAATGGGAGCATCTTGGTATCTGTGACCTTATCAGCTGTCTGATTTATGCACTTAAATTAGTGAGCTGCTGCAGAGAGGGGAGAAAAGTATGGAATGGCATTTCTGATACACAGCAAGGCTTTGCCAGTCCTGCTAAGCAAATGATTTCCCATTTAGTATCAGCACCTTGACATGTATGCAGATAAAAAACATTCTCCTAAGGTTTGGAAGCTTACTGCAGTTATTAACAAAGCAATGGTTGGCTGATTCAAAAGGAGAGGCAAATTTCTGAGATTTTTAGTCTGGTAACAGTCCTGCTGACTTTTAACAATAGAAAGTGATGGTGGATTTTTAAGGGGCTCTGAATAACCATATTTCTCTTTGGAAACAGGACTGAATAATCAGGTGGCTAAAGAGGAAGTGCCCTGACAACTAGTGAGCACAAGTAATCATTTGGGGGGGAGGGGGGGTGGAGTTTGAAGCCAAAAAGACTGCAGCCCACAGCCAAAAAGACTGTGCATGAAGAGGGAAAAGGGTGCCCATTTTCTGTGCTCTGGTGACTCCCCCTGGGGTGCTATCACAGCCCCAAGGAGGAAGCTGTCTGCTGGAGACATGGGTGATGGAGTGGAGGGGAAAAATTCCAGGAAAAATGGAGGGGAAATACCCCAGAGAGGGGGGCTGCAGCTGGGGTTGAGTCTGGAGGCTGTTGGGGACAGTAGGGAAAAAATGAGCTGGCTCGTAAGATGAGCAGAAGGAAGGGCTAGAGATGAGGAGGTAGGCTTGGATGCAGAGGATGACTGGAAACCAAAGGTGTTGGACATGGAACAAAACTAAGAATTTCTGTAACTGGAGCCAAAGCCTCTACAGACTGCACAAGAACTGCTGCACTTCAGAGACTGGCTGCTTAGCTAAATCCAAGCAGGCCTTCACACACAGGCACTATATGATGTTTCTTTCCCTGTGGTTTTCTTCCATTCTTAATTTAAAATCTTACCCTAGTGATGGTAGATCAATTTATGAGTACTTCCTTCTCTGCCTCATTCCTGTCATGTCAGGCTCTAGATACTCCCAGATGGACTAAACAGCTTGAAGAGCTGACCTTTAATGTGGAGTGTGAATTTTGACAGATAGCTTAATATTTGTAAGACTGGGGTAATGGCTAAAAAGGTGGCTGTAGTCAGTGGAGACCTGACTTGGTTCTGTTTTGCTAAACCAGCTCCATGGCTGGCTCTCTTGTGTGTGTGTTGTATTTCAGTGCTGTATGTGATCCAAATGCTGTACGTAATCTCTCCATGGTGACTGCACAGTATTTGTTTCTATTTAAGGAGAGAAAGAGGTCTGGGTTTTCTGCCAGAATTCCCACTCAGGTAATTACACTTCTGCCTGCAGAATTTCCCTGTAGCTTCAATTGTAGTAGTGTTCTTTGCTCTCTCTACTAAAAAGTGTGAACATATACCTGCTGCTGTGTTTTGGGAACACAGCAGTGGCTGCTTTGCTGAGGCAAGTGAAGTGACCCTGCTAAGCATCCTTTATGCTAGACTTGCCCCTAGTAAAGACTGCTGCATCCAGTCATGCCACTCTGCAGCTCTCATCTTTCTGAGCCTGACTTTGGCATAACAAGTTGGTCTTGATAGTGAGACAGCCAGCTGGAAGCCAATGAAAAGATGATTAAGAGCCAAGAGAAAGCCATATGGAGAGAGAGAGGGATTTCTCTTTACAGAGTTATAAGTAAAAGTGTTTATGTCTTTGGATCCCTCTAGCTGTTTTTTTTTTCCCTTATTTGCATCCGTTTTATGGGTGGGAAGTGGTTGCAGTTGATTAGCAAATGCTACCAAATCTCTTTAGCTAGAACAAATGTTGTAAACAGTAGATATTTCGGGCAGCTCTGTCAATACTAAAAACCAACACGCCAACATTGTAATGGTAATAGCACATATGTCATCATTATTATGCTAATGTTAACTACAATACTATATATGATACCAACATTATAGAAAAATATTCTTTTGCAGAGTAAGAGATATTGAATGAAACGCCTCTTGCCTCAAATTGACATGATGTAGAGATTTATTTTTTTCTGAACTTATGACAGCAGAGCTAATAAAGTCCAGCTCAGACTGGAAAACTCTTCTGCAGATGCTTAATTAACTTTGAAGTCAAAGTAAACACAGACCGTGTTCACTCAGAGCCTTATACAGAGATTTAAAACGGAGGATGTCCAACATTAATAAGTTAAGACTCATCAAACATAGTGTAGATAGTAAACAGAACCAAGACAATTGAACTAAATTATTGATTCATGGAATTCATTCTTTCTCTTCACAGAATGTTCACATGCAGATTGTGTTCTCTTGAATACAGTTCTTATTCAGATTTACTAAATGAATGTTATGGTGTGTGTGGGTTTAAAGAAAAAAATTCTGTTAACTAATTCTGTATAGATCATATCCTCAAGATTCAAGCTGTTTCACATATGTTATTGTTTTAGTTTCCCTGACTGACTGAATGCTATTCAAGTGAATAGCACTGAAACCCTGCTCGAATTGCTACTAGGAATTGGTTCTTCAAAGTGTTCTCTTTGGAGTTGAAAGTTTCTCATGAACATGGAATAGTTTAAGAAAAGTTTGACAAATAGGAAATGGGAATTTCTGTTAAACCTTGCTGTTTTCCTTCCTGTCCAGCAAAAAAAAAAACAAAGTTAATTCTGCTTATTAATTACTAGCTGAGTCAGGAACTGTGCTACTTAGTTGAGGAGGTGTAATGTTACTGTAATGTTCAAGGCAACTTTTGCTTTGCTCTCTTGAACAAGGATTCAGACTGGCTTCTCATGATTTTAGTTGTAATATGGTGAAGTATTGATTGTGTGTAGGTGGGGGGCATGGGTATCTGACTAAGTTTTAAAGGACTGATCTTCTGGTGTTCAGAACATCCTGTATTGTGTCTTTGTGTTGTGTTGTCTTTGCATCAAATTCTCTGCAGAGCATAGCTTGCCTGAGAGGGACAAGAACTTTTCCTTTCCCATCTAACTAGAAAAAAAACTTCATAAAGCTGTGTTTATCTGAAACACATCTACATCTCTCTGTATTCTTTTCCCCCCTTCCCAAGCAACAGCAAAAAATTCCTGCTCCTCTCTCAAGCTGATCTCAATGAAAACTCCTTATGGCTATTTTAGATCCTCTTGCTTTCAGTCTGTATACACCAAGCCTTTTCCATCTTGCTGAAATTGCCTATGAGTCTTTTGAATATGTCTACTGGTCTCAATGAGATCCTATCTGAATTGGTGGATGTCTCTGTTTTCTGTGAAAGCTTGTGTTTCTGCCACTGAAGAGTCCTTGCAGACTTCATACTGTGCAGGTATGAAATTACTCATAGTGGCATCTGTTCTCCAAAAATACTGAATGCACATTAATTAGATGGGCTGGGAATAGTTCAGAAGGGTTGCATCAGTTTGGGCTGAGCTGGCCTTTTCCCCAGGCCTCTTCAGACCCATATAACTTTACCAGGAACACTTGGTGCCAGATTTGACACCAGATTTTAAGCCAATGAGTAAATTCTCAAAGGTACAGTAAAAATTGAGAAGCTTTTCCTCTTAAGCTGTTGAACTAATCTGAAATACACTTTCCTAAGGTAATACAGAACCTGGAAGTGCCAAGCCCTACACAGGTACAAAACAAGGTCCTGTTAGAATAGGGGATGCTCTTAGAATCATAGACTGTTAAGATTTGGAGGGGATCTTAAGGATAATTTAATCCAAATACCCCTGCCATGGATAGGGACACCTCCCACTAGACCAGGTTGCCAGGCCTTATCTAACCTGGCCTCAAACACTGTCAGGGTTGGGACATCCACAGTTTCTCTGGGTAATGTGTTCCAAGGTCTTGCCATCCTCACAGTAAAGAATTTCTTCCCAATCTCTAATCTAAATTCCCTCTCTTTCAATTTGTACTGATTAGTCCTTGTCCTAATCAAAGAGTTCCTGACAAAGAGTCCCCCTTTGGCTTCCCTGCAGACCCACTGCAAATACTGGAAGGTTTCTTTGAGGTATCCACACAACCTTCTCCTCCCCAGTCTGGACAGCCCCAACATTCTCAGACTTCATAGGGCAGCCCTTTTACCAGCTTCGTGGACTTGCTCCAACAGTTCCACATTCTTCTTATTTTGGGGACCCCAGAGCTGGATGCAGCACTACAGGTGGGGTCCTCACCAGAGCAGAGCAGAGGGGCAGAATCCCCTCCCTCACCCTGCTGGCCTCGCTGCTTTGGATGCAGCTCACTGAATTCCACTGGGTTTCTGGGCTGTGAGCACACACCGTGCTCATGTGAGTTTTTCATCAACTATTACCCCCAAGTCTTTCTCTGCAGGGTTGTTCTTCAATCACTTTTCTGTCCAGCCTGCATTTGTGCCCACATGTGTGGTTGGAAGGATATGTAACAAGAGGATCTCTTGGTAATATTTCTCCAGTCCTGGGCATGAGCTACATGAGATGCTGTGCTAATGAAGAAGGAAATGTGGATGTACAGATAGCTTCACCTTGGTATTCTGCTCATCACTAGGATAAGATTGTGGTAAGGGGAGTTATTTGAAGGGAATAAAATTGGCCTGTGATCCCAAGTATTTGTAGTTGCTGGGATGGACAAGGAAAGTTCTAGGCATCAGCCTTGCTCTGTTGTGATGCTAGAGCTCCTTTTGTGGGACAGGACAGCTTTGCTCCTGGAAAAGTGCTGTCCCAAGAGAGCACTACCTGGCTCTGAAGTCACCCAACACAGTGGGCAGCCCTGAGGTCTGGGTGAGCAGGTGTCCTTGCTTGTCTTGACTGCAGTTTGAGCTTTATGGAAGGGCTCAGGGGAAATGCCATTGTTTGGAATCCACATGTCTGGCATGCAGTCAAGTCAGTCTTCCTTTGTAGCTTTCCTCCACTAGGGGTGAAGGAGATTTGTGAAGTTAATTAGACTCCAGATTTGAACTTTCCTCATGGGTGTTGGAAACTGGCATTCTTCTTTCAACTTATATGCATCTAGAGCTGCTACACATTGGACTTGGGATGCTCCTGGAATGAGAAATGGAATGTATGACATATCTATCTGCTTTCCAGGGACTGCTTTGTCAGAGTCTGTGATTCAGCTCTTTGCCTTATGGATTAACTGGGAGTATTCATGTACTTTTAAAATTTCTTTTAAAACATTTTGCTGAGATGAAGTCTGTGCAGTTAATTAGAACTCTGCCACTGTTCACAGAATGCTGGCTGTGCTGAGCAAAGCTCTTCAAACACCTTTTTCCTGAATTTGAACAGGCAAAGCACTGGGCTCTCACGCTTTCTTGGCAGGCAGAAGTGGTGAGGTAAGGAGCTACTTGTTCCTGGTGGCATTTCTGTGCTGCTGGGAGACTGGCTGTGTAGTGAGCTGGAGCCAGCACTCCTCAGCTCCTGGGTCTTGTAGAAGAATGGGGCAGAGAGTTTTGCTTTGCCAAATGCAGTCTGTCCTTACTGGGAGCCACACATCAGAGATATCCTTTTGGCACAGTGGTCAAATACCATTTCAGCAGATGTTTAATGCAAAATTGTCAGCGCTTCCAAGGAAAGCTGTGCCACAGCTTTGTTCCTCTGCTCAATAGCAAATTCCTTCAGACTCCCAGGTTCTTTCATCTTTAACTGGTTCATAGTCCTGTATCCATATTTGAACCCTTTGTGATCACTTCTTCCATCCCTTGATTGTGTCCTTTGCCGAGGGAACATCCCTCCAGCTTCTGCCCTCTTCTGAGTGAGCAGCTTACATGCTTTGCCTATCCTTGCCCAGAGCCAGTTTTGTTCAGAAATAGATTGATTCATTTTTTCATCTAAATGTGGAATGGTCCAGATTTTTATGTGAGAGCTGAGATCAAAAACTTGTTGTTTGCTTCTACTTAAACAAAATATGCTTTTTTAAAAAAAAATAATCTGAAGATGTTCCAAAATTTCTCCTGAAACATTTTTCACTTTCTTATATTTCAAAAAAGATTAGCAGAAACATGGAACTGCTTTGGCAGTTGTGGAAATAAAATTAAAAAAACATGAGTTAAAATGCAACTGCTCAAGCCTGGGGGGTGGAGGCTGAAGAGTGTTTACTAGAAACATACTTGCTGTGTGGCTGGGACAGCTTTCTGTTTGGGAAAATATTGCAAATCTATTCACTTTACATATGGACAAGTGGTGATATATCAGTGTTCTGTGTATCGTGCGTGTACCCCGAGTACAGAAATGCCTTGTTCTCAGGAAGCTTCCATCTCTGGAGTGAAAGGCAGCAGCTATTTTTAGTAGTGTGCTGCAGCATTGCATAGGAGAGCACAAGATGATGCTGTTTCCCTGGCTCACTTCATGGATGACTTTGCTAATTTACTATGTGAGGACTGATGACAAACTAGTACCACCAGAGGAGCACAGACACAGCTTCATGTTTTTTTGAAAGAAGCCAGCAAGGTTGTGTTGAGGACCAGTCTCAAACCGAACAACAAAAATTATTTCATTGGAGAAGAGCTCATAAAACTATGCCCTGTATCTGTAAATGCTTGAAATTCCAGCTTTAGAAATAAACATTACAATGCAAAGCCTGGGCTGTTTCTGTCAGGTGCCCAGAAGAGTGGGCACTGAGATGTAGTAGCTGGTAGTCAGGATGGAGAATGTCCCCTCTTTAAAGAGGCAGCAAAAGACTTCCATTTCTTTCTCCTGCTCAAACCCCTTTCCTGAAGATTTCACAGATTCTCACCAGGTACTGCCCTCTCTGTATGCACAAGATGTGTTCTGTAACACAGTAACAGCAGTAACAACAGTCCCGCTTTTCTGACATGTGTGATCAATTGGAGATTAAATCCTAACATGAAACCTTGCAGCAAAAGGCTGCGCTTGGTTTACACCATCTTGTCAGGCTGCTGGAGTTCCAAAGTCAGCATTTTGTTTGGGTGATGACACCAGGACCATCACATTTACTCTTCTGTTGACAGCTGGTCTGCTGATTTCCCTCTGCAAATGGCTTTGGGTTTTGCAAGTGTAAGGGGTGAAGAGCCATGTGACTGCAACAGAACAGTTTGTTTCTGCAGTAAATGGAAAAAGCAAAATGCAAACACAGTAGAAATCTTGCCTCCTGTATTTCAATTGCTCATTTTTTTAGAAAAATTGTATGGCTGATGTTTGTTGGAATTTTTATGGCTTTTCCTAGTGTGCATTCGTGCATTTCTTCTCTCCAGACTAGCTTCATTATTGTAAAAAAGAAGTTGGTGTGCCCAAGAAAATGCTGTTGTTGAGAGTGGTAACATGTGGAATTTAGTGAGTTAGCTACTAAAGAACATTATTTCAGCAGTTATCACAGAATAGACATGTAAGATGTAAAACTGTTTAAACTTGGCAAGAACATCCAAGATTTGCATTTTCCTAATTAGAAGTGCTAGAGTTATTGCAAAAGCAAGGCATAATTGGTTTACCTGGAATTTTTTTCAAAACTGAAATATACACAGAAAAACATTTGAAAATTAAGGATTTCAATGTAGTTTGAAGACCTGGGAAGATCCAGCCTTTATGAATGTTATAAAAGCCTTGCTGGATATGTTTTAGCCATTTGTACTGGTGCATTTATAGCAATGCATAGTGGGAGTGGAAATTATGTTTTGTTGTGCATTTGTGAGCAAGGATTTTCAGTTGTATTCACTTTATAAAGATGAAAAATATCAAAAAAGTCATTCAGTCATGTTTTGAGCTCTGGAACTTGTTTTCTTGCAGAGGAATATTGCAAATGGATTTCAGACCACTTGGGACTGTGATTTGGTTTGTATTACCTGTGTCCTGACATCTTTAGTGCTGTACATAGTTTAACATATGACCAATGTAATGGTATCAGTAATGTTTCTCTTCAGAGTAAATTAAGTAAATGTTCAGCCTTTAAATATCCATTATAATTTCTCCTGTTGTTTACAAGGGACACCCATTGTGGCCATTAAAGGAGAACATATGGTTTATTGATACAATGTCAGTTGCTCAAGCGTTTCTCACTTGGCCTGTTCTAGAACTGACTATTATCTGAGATACACTCTGGAAAAAATGTATTTAGATGCCAAAACCCATTCCCAGGTGAAAGCCTCACAGCCAGAAAGAAGTAAAAAGTGCTCTCTGGCCTTCCACCATCAATCACCTCCCCTATCCCTGTGCTTTTTTCCTAAATAGATATATTGACTTCTGTAAGATATATTGACTTAAATTTAGCTTCCTCTGAAAAGAATGTCAAGCCTTTAATGCAGTTTGTCGTTTTATGCAAACCTTTACAACAGTTTGCCCTTAGTTAGAGGGTGTCCATGCTGGGTGGTGAAAGATTTGAGCACTCTGTTCTTCATAAACTTTATGACAGCCTTTAAAATAATAGTGCTAGAATAAATTTCAAAGTGTGGCCTTAGTAGTTTTCTCTAAGAGCTCTGACAGGTAAGAACTGGCAGGGTTTGCTGTAATCTTTTATAGCCTTATATTCTTGCATACAGCCTTATATTCTTGTCATAAGCTGCCTGTGAAGACTACATAAAAGAGCAGTATTTTTCCACTCCTATTACAGGAGCAGTAACCTCTGACTGAAAGCAAGGTGGAGAAGGAAGAGAATGCAGTTTGGATTTACCATTGTTAAATTAAGCAGTGCCTGTTTAAAGGATTTTTAAGTTTTTTGTTGGGTCATTCTGGATTTGTATGAATTTTTTTTTTTTTGTTTCTGTAATAGCTGCTGTCTCCAAATGCTTGGCATAATTCTGCTTTGCTTACTTAAAGTGGAGTCTTGCTTCTGAAGTCTCTGAAGTTGTTACAGTCTAAGCCTGGCCTGAATCTGGAATCCATATTGGCATACTTTACGGAAAATATCTCAGGGCTTAAATAACTAAGCTGTAAAGATTTTCTTTCTTGTTACCCTAATTTAAAAAAAATAAATAAAGGAAGAGCAAGACATTGCTACAGATATGCTGTATTTTATTTACATGGATATTCTGGTGTCCAAGCTGCTGATTCATATGATGAGGGAACCTCTGTTGCGTGGCTGGTTCAAACACTTAAAAGTAGACGTGCCTGCCAGGGGTGCAGACCTTCTGGCACAGGTAATAAAAGCCAGATGTATCAGCAGCTTCAACTCCAGCTCAGCCACAGAACTGAAATGAAGTCTGTGTGTGTCAGCCACCAGTTTGTCACAGCACAGCCTTGGCAGAAGGACTATGTGTTCTGTATCAGGGAGCCCCAACCCAGTTGTGGGGGTCATATTGCTCAGCCTTTTGGACCAAATGATCATCAAAATCAGCCTTAAGACAGGCTTTGGAGGTTTTACTGAAGGAAGTAGGTTGGTTTTTATGTTGTTGCTGGTTAGTTTGGGTTTTGGTGCTATGGTTTTTTGTTTGGCAGTTTTTTTAAATTAGGAAATCAAACCAGGTTGGCCTTGTGAATCTCTGTCCTGCCTTAGTCAGGTCAACACATGAGACTTGGAAGGCACTAAGGTTCTGGAGTGCTGGAAAGTAGTCTGCACCAAGGAGAAAGTGTTTTCCAGAAGCACTGGCTGTCTCATAACCCAGTCAAACTCTACTTTTGTTGCAGAGTACCTGCAGTACAGCTTTGAGGGCTGGCTCTTGTAAAACTGTCAAGACTCAGCTGAGTTTAGCATAATGCAAACTTCTGTCTGCAATCCTGTTCCCTGACCCGAGTCTGCCCTGCAACAACTGTATCTAGGGCTAGGAGAAGAGTTTGGCTTGTCCTGTCTTAAGTACATTCATTCTTGTAGTACTCCTGTAGCTATTCCAGGGATCTGCTGAATCTCTAGTACAGAGCTGGGCAAATAAACACCGAAGAAACCTGTGAGAGAGGTAAGTCTCAAGCCAAAGACAATCCCCTAGGTGTGGGGGTGGCCTTTCTCTCTTTGCCAGTCCTCGCTGTTCTTGTCAAAGCTGCCAGTGGCAAGCAGTGAGTTAAAAATGCTCACTTCTGGAAAGCCACACTCACAGCCCTGCCGAGCAGCAGTTCAAAGATTGTTTTCATGCTTAGCATGTTTCACTCCTGCCTCTTCAGAGATCATGTTAATATTATCACCTCTCATCAAACATTAATCTGTACATCATTTGCCAATTGAAGCATGAGTAGGTTGCACAGATTTATTCAGCAAGCAGCAATTGCTGCCTAGACTCTGTGGTCTAGTTGTTAACAGCTGGCTGTTTGGGTTGTGTTTTTGTTAAGTGGAGAGCCTATTTATAGGCAGCAGAACACATGCACATCCTTGTCTGTGCTACTGCAGATCCTGGGAAATCTCCCCTGGTACAAAAGCCTAGTCTACCAGCTAGCATAATGTATACTAAAGCCAGCGTGGGAGAGTTAGAGGTGTTGGTTTTTGTTGGGTTTTCTCCTCTATCACTATCTTGAAGCTTTGGAGCAGACCGATAGCACAGGGTCAGGCTGCCTGCCTGAAAACTGGGGCAAAATGTTTCCCAGGATACAGAGGAAGCAATCTATGGTGGTGGTGTCTGACACAAAATGCCATTAAAAATATTCTTGTGTCAAAGAATCTGATTTTAAACAAGGTATTTAATGTGCAAGTGTCTATGTGTGTGCATCTCACCACATTCTTTACCCAGAAGAAGGCAGAGTTAGCTTTTCTTTGCTTCTTTAAAATCAGATGGCAGGTGAGGAATCTGTGGTGACAAGAGCCTGGGAGCTGTGTCACTCCTTCTCAAGGGCTGGAGGAGAAGAGGGTGTTGGCTGACAGCCAGCAGAGGAAAACCTATTTATGTGTGCACACTTGACACCATCACTGAGATGGGGAGTATGGCCTGGTGCCCCTGAGCAGCCGGGAGTTTGGCTGTGGCACTCTGCTATTCAGAGGTGCTGCTTGCCTGAGTCACTCTTTGTGCTGAAAATGAAACACTGTGATTCTAGCAGAGCATACAATGAACTGCTAATTACAAAAGTGAAAACAAAGTTAAAGAGAAAAATGAGCACAGCATAATTTCACATAGTGCTAAATAGCTGCCTTTTTTTTTTTTTCTTGGTTGCTTTAGTCTCCCTACTATGAGGTGTTATGGCAGAGAGTGGGAAACTGGCTTTTCCACTTGCTTCTTCCAGAGTTCACACACCTCTGGGCTGCTTTTCTCTCCTTTTGTTCAAGAAGGATTTCCCATGATCTTGTACATCATTCTACTGCTCTCATCTTTGTGCAGTGCTCTCTTCCCAACTCATGCTTGCTTGCTTCATATGTAGGAAGTCACATTTTAATTCCATCACAGCAATTATTCTATCTGGGTGGGGGAAAAAAAAACCCACCAGCTGCTGTTCTGTATTGTGAAGAACACAGGACAACCTGCTTTGTCTGTCCCTTCCTTCTCTCCCAGTTTCTTGTCACATCAGAGTTTGGAAGTAGTTTCAATAGGTACTTGTGAAGGAGGAGAATGAAGAATTCTGCAGGGCACTGGAGTGAGCAGAAGCACAGAGTGGACTCTGGCTGGAATGATGTGTGCACTCCAGTCTGTGCACTTGCTTCTCAGAGCGTGGTCTTTGAGTGAGCAGCCTCAGAGACATACATGAACTGTTAAATTGTTTCAGTCACCCACCTGTTTACACCTCTCCTCAGGGGGAAGGTACTTGGGTAAGTACTACATACATCAGTCTGCATTTCATATTCAGGCACACAGGCATTAATGCTGATGCACAATTCATACATGAGTAGCATGCATGACATCCCAAGGATCTGTTTACAGGATCGGGACCCCGGAGCTTCAGCCATGAGGAATACAGGAATGCACTGGCAGTGCGTTCTATCCTGACTGGCAATCCACTCCTAGCCAAGGATGCAAACGGATAGGCTCCAGTGCTTTCTGCAAGGCGCTGTGCCAGCATGGTACAGATGATGGGGAAGAGCTGAACAGATACTTAACATCTCTGTGTATATCTTCCCCATTCTGTCATAAGAGTACCTCATATAAATAAATAAAAGGGATGCTGTTAAGTCATGCCAGTCAAAAAAAAGTCTGAAGACAGACTCTGGCTGCCTGCCCGGTTGTGCTAGGTTTTGTAGGCTACGAAGCATATACTTGTGTCTGAGAAAGTACTTAACTGGTGATCCATGGACTTCTGGAGACCTGGGATGATTTCTGATGGAGATGTTAAATGTAAATAAGAGACTCTTGTAATGGGACTTCTACTCTGCAGGAATCAGCAACTCTTAAAAAATGCTGAGGTCTCTAAGCTGTAAGAAGTTGACACCCATTTTCTCATTTATAGAACACTTCAGGAATGCTGTAGGGCACTTGATGCCAAGAAAGCTCTGCCTTTTCTCTGTCACACTGACATTGGTGGAACTTGGGTTAGTAAATCTGCAGGATCCCACTGTCAGACTTGAGTTTGGTGTTTGGGTTGTCTGGGGTTTTTTTTTGAGGGGGAATGTTCCTTTCTTTCCATGTAGGCCTAGTAACAGTCCCTATTTCCTCAGTTAAGTGACTTCCTGTGGCTGGGATTTGGAAATCAGTAGAACCTTTCGTATTGTTTTTTTCTGCTGTCCTTGAATCTCTTTTAGGAAGTTGGTGTCTCTGAACCACCTCTAGAGTAATTGGAGGGCAGATGCTCTGTGAGGTTTGTACTTGTTTAAACAGTAAATTAAATTGCAGGGAAGCTGTACTCGCTCACAGATATGATGATTATGATGTTAAAATGGTACTGGGTAGGCCCACACCTCCAGCCCCATGGGAATCCTTAATGGAAAACAAGGAGCTGTAACATCACTGACCCTGTACAGTGTGACCTTGGGGTGGGGGTGTGTGGGGGAAACACTGACTTGCTGAAACCTTCCCCCTCCCACAACTCCAGCATGGAGGGCTTCAATGAAGAAGGCAAACGGTGCTAATTTTTGCTGAGGAGAAAGCACAGGCAAGTGTGGGAATGTTTCTAGAGCAGAAGCAAGCACCTGACGGCTTTCGAGTGTCTGTAACTTTTAAATGAAAATGAGAAATGAGCCCAAGCTGAATTTCAATTATCGTAAGATATAAATTAAAAATAGAGTTGAAGCTTCAGATTAAAATGTTCATTTTTGACTATGTAGTTTTGACTTTGCTACATGAGCTTTTCTTGTGTTTTGATATTGTCAAAACCATTTTACAGCAACAGGTCCCAACAGACTGTAGTAACACCTTGTAATATTTTAGTTTTTAAAATTAAAGGTTTACAGCAGCAGGCTATGGTTTGAAAATCACGCTTCCATGAGTCTGGGAGTGGGGAGGAGGAACTGGGCTGTTGGTTCCCAATGGGAAAGGATGGGTGGGTGCAGGGGCGTTGTGTCTTACTGTCATGAGCGGCAGCAGCAGCTCAGGACACCGCAAGTCCCGCTGGGGCTACAGACATCGCCTAAAAAGCCAACGAATGCCCCCTTTGAGTGTGAGTTGAAGCCATCTCAGGTTTGCCTCTGCGTTCCTACGCAGCATCTTCTTGTTTGCTCCTCTTCTGTCCTCACAGGCCTTTCTGCTTCGCTTCCCTTCTGACCACCCCGTTCGCCCTCGGTGGGGCTCGGACTCAGCACAAAGCCGGCTCTAAGGGCCGGCTGTTTTCCCTTTCTCGTTTGCCTCCGCCGTGGTTTTGGGGTGGGGTTGGTGGGTTCACGGGATCGTTTGCTCTTTGACCTCCTC